GGATATTGCAACTTCTCCATTCATGTGATGTTTGCGAAAAAATTGGCTTAAAATATTCCCCTCATTTTGCAGCAAAAGCATCCTTTGCATTGTTTGGGACAGTTACTGAAAGACCGACAAAGTTGTAGGTGCTTATCTAAAGATCTTGTATCTTGATAATTTTTATTTACGTGGCCACATGCTTGCACCTCTGCTAATGTTACTGTGGTTCTGGTTTTCTACTGTGTTTCTTGTCATGTAAAAAAATACTGTGGACTTGGGCTCCTGTAGAAATGTGACTGTTTGTTGTGTCTGGGTGTTTCGGACTTGTGTTGTTAAGAGGATAATTGTTATTAGTAATGGATATTCCATGTGTTTGTGTGTTTTTTCTTTTCTCACCTATCTAATAAGTACAGCTGGCAGATTGCATTCATTTAAAACATGTATACGGTAAAAATCTATGGAATTCTGTTAGAATAAATCTAACAGAGAATAAATCTATGGAATATGTCAGCTTATTGCATTAAAGTATCTCAACATGGTGATTTCCTGACCTCAGTATTTAAACAAGAACAATACATGAGTGTCTTTCTTGCTGCCCATGTACTTTTAGTTTCTGTGCTTAACCCGTGTTTCTCTTTCATGCACATTTTTTTTGTGCTCCTCGGAAAAATATTGATTGGAAGACTGCATTTTATAGCTTCTGTTATTTCAGGATGCTGTTATTTATTGAGCTCTTAAATCCTTCTTTGCTTTGCAGCACACTTCGTAGTGCTGTTACAGCAACCCTAACATTGCAAATCTCTCGACATGCCACAGGTTAGTGCCTATTTTTATATTCATGCTGTTTACATTGGATGTATATTGATTGGAAAATCAGATTTTACAACACCTGTTGTTTATTGATGCTACTGTTTCTTCCCTTTTCAAATTCTTTTGTTTGCTCTACAGCAGACTCTATGCCTCCATTACACCGAGCAAAGCATTCAGCTCTTTGCACGTGTCACAGGTCACTCCCTATTTTTAAAATCACGCTGTTTACAGCTTTATATTTCTGTTTACTTATGCGAGTATTCTTGTAGCCATCTCTCTGTAGGCGTGTGGGTTCACAGTACTGTAACATAATGCAGACATGATAAATACGCTCCACTATGGCCATCACTTTATATTGCTATTGCCTTTCTAGAATGGCGCAAATCAGGTCTGTGCTGCCGTTGGGTGATGACTTGGAACAGGTGTGTACCGCTGTGCTCATCTCATTGGTTCTTCAATTTAATGCTATTGTTGATCGATTTAGTTGATTTATGGACCCACCTATGAATTTGCATTTTCCAAGCCATTGCGGCCGACCTGTGTGCCTCTGACCATGCCGCGCATTATGGCCCCTTGTCGTTGTTTGGGGCAGAAGCAGCCGCCGCTCACAGTGTGCTACCTGTGCAAAGGAGATATGCTCCTTCTGTTTACTGCAGGTACTGGTACAATCCCTGGTTGGGGATTTTTTAAAGTGTTCAGTTTTTAAAGCTTTTTCGTTGTTCCCCAAATTAATTAAATTTGTAATAAAACCACTACTTACATGACGCTGATGTGAATTAAAAACTGGATCATCAAGCAATCAACTTACATCTTCATTAGAACCATTCCAAATATATGTGCTTCACTGGTTTGGGTGGTTGCAGCTTGCATGTGTAGTAGACGAAGCACACACACAAAAAATATTCATGTTTCTTCTTCTTTGATATTTTTCAGGTGTCACATTTTTTTCTCTGGTTCATTGTGTGCTTATTCTATTCATAGACTTGTGTTCTTAAGTTCTTCAGTGAGGCTAACGCAAATTTGCTGCTCCTAATAAAGATTTCTTGGTTTATCTTCTCTGCTTCCTAGAAATAGAAATTCATAGCATGTGTACATGTGATTTTTCATAGTCATAACTATTTCAACAATCATCGGTTCATTTCCGTAGTGGGACAGCTTAAGCTAGAGGATGCAACACTTTTACAGCTACATTAGTTTGTGTAGATATACTGACATAGCCACTCCCATTCTTTTCCCTATACAACTTATATTAGTCAAGTCCGCCATTCAATGGTTGATTTCAGTTGGGAACAAAGCCAGATTGGACCCACTGATAAAAAACAATGCTCCAGTTTACAAATGAGAACAACAGGTGTGTTTTTGTTTCATCATATTTGCAAATTCTTTTGACAGATGTTATTATCTTATTACCTGTATTTGTTTTTGTTATGATCAAATCTGAATGATTATTGGGTCCTTCTGTGGCTTCTCATTTTAGTTTCTACTATCTATTCCTTATTAACTTTAACACTTCAAGTTTTCACGTCTGAAAGATTAAAGTTTGATGAGTTCCAAAAGTCGGACTTAGTTTTTGACACCGAATGAGTTGTCAGATCTCTAGGAAATTTATCATTTGTGAGTGTCTTTAACTTAGTATGCATGGCGTGTGAGCTCTGATTCAGAATACATCATTGTTTGGAGCAGCGTTGCCTTGCCCATTAAGCTTCAAATACAGTGCACCATTTTTACACGCTTCAGCTTTTCATAGATGCAGTGCCGCTCATATGTACAAATTCTATTTGTAGTTCTTAGGATTGTACAGATTCTATTTTTAGTTCTTAGGATTGTTCCATCCAAATCTGAAGCTAATTATTTGCTCTATGCATTTTAGTTGGCATTGTTATCATACACCGTGATTTTCACCACTACAGATGGACCTGATGGATCATCGTGCCATGCCAACATTGAAAAGCTCCTGCAAAGCCTTCTCTGACGACTTCCTACTGTCTACAGGTTACCTTCCATTGGGGTAGTCACAATGGTGAGATTCCTCAGTGTTCCATTGAAATTATACATGCCATGCTTTGCCCTTATCACTCACACTAAATTATTTTGCATTTGGGATCCACACACTGAGCTTCACTGTTTAACATGGTGAAATTATGTGCTCCTACGATAACTATATCTGCCATGGAGTGGCCTTTATTACTACACAACCTGTACTTCTGATGTCTTTGTGTTGTATTTTCCTGAAGTGCTTAGAGGCGTGTCCTCATATTGTCACTTCATGCCATGATCCACATATATTCCTGCTCCTTGTTCTTTAAATTGCACCAATTACAGCTCTCCAAAGACAGGGACTTAGTTTACTCATTACCCTTATTATATTGTGCTGATCAAGGTTACCTTCTCTGCCCACCTTATTATTTCTATATGTTTCTTTTCCAGATTCTTATTTAGTGGCTCTTGACCTCCTTTTTGAAGGTGTCATGGCTACAATCTCTTATATGTACCTGACATGCATTATTCCTGTTGCCTTGACATGTTAGACCTCCCTTTATGTCGCGGATCACTCCAATGCTCGCAGTTCTGAACTCATCTCCTACAACTAAAAAGAACAAAAGTAAGACAATTTTTTGTGCGACTTTTTTTGGGTCGCTCCTCCCTTATGTCCGTGCGATACCGCAGCTCCAACCTCGCCACACCGCGAGCGTTCAAAAGGAAACCCCACGCTGGATGAACCAAAAGGAAACCTCTGCCAGTCTCCTGATTCCACGCCTCCCTGCTCCATTCACGTTATCTTAGCCACATCATGGAAAATATCTATAAAGTAGAGTTTGTGAGCCTGCGACGCCGTGCTCTCCGTGACTTGTGTTAATTTCACACACTTTGTTTTTTTGAATTAAATGTCACTTTAACATTGGTATTTAATTTTTACAGTATTGTTATCTTATTGTGCAATCCGTGTGTTTTAAGTACAAAATGTTAGCTATCCCATAGCAACGCACGGGCACGCTACCTAGTATATTTGGGAAAAAAAAAGCTTCTTCACTAGCGGTTCTTCGCCTCAAATAGTTAAGTGTGTGTCGAGGTGTGTGAATGCTGCTTTTGTAGGTAAGAGCAAGATTAATAATATAGCCTTCAGCTGGTTGTATTGATACTTACAACCCACTTATTACTTATTAGTCAACTCATATGATAGTTGGTTTGCTTATAGCGCGAGTACAGCCAAAACAAGACCTGAAGTATTGGTTTTCAAAACCAACAAGCATTATTATTAATGGCCATGTCATCTATCGTTTTGGTTTTATTCTTGTACATTCTTGGTGCTAAGTCTTTTGATGCAATGCCCTAGCTATGACCATGCCGATTCCCACAAACTTTTCTTTTTTTTTTTTCATCGCGATTGCTACTAATAAATATGTAGGCATGTAGCCACACCAGTGCAGGACCTAGATCGACCACGATGTCAAATCTAGGGTACGATTCCGAGTAAGTTATAGAGGGTGTGAGTGTGTGACAACCTGCACTAACGGTCCAAGCAATTTTTTATTGGTTCTCTTCTCGTAATACTCCCTCCGTTTAAAAAAAATACTCCCTCTGTCCTCAAATAAATTAATTTTTAGAATCAGTGCAAGTCAAACTATCTTAAGTTTGACTAACTTTGTAAAAAAAGTAACAACATCTATAACATAATATGAACATATTATAAAAATATATTGCATGGTATATCTTATATGATACTAATTTAATGTCTTAAATCTTGATAAATTTTTCTAGAAATTCGATCAAAATTTAAAATGTTTGATTTAAACTCTAGGAATCTATTTATCGAGGAAACTAGAAGTAGCCGATAGAAGTGTTGAACCGCTAAACCGTCCGCTACGGATACTGACAAGATGAACCAACTCGGTACGACTGTTTTCGATCATGACCGGGTAAAAATATTACCTAGTCAAATCAAACAGTAGGTCCACAGATTCTGAATTGGTGACACACGGATGCAGAGAATTCTAGCAGAATCTTGAATTGACCTCGCACAGCTACGACTACTCGTCTATCCATCTCCGTCTGAACGCACGTGCCGTTGATCACTATAAATAGGCCCGCTATTGGCAGCTTCATGCAAACGCATCCACCACCACCAACACCAACAACACAAACTACGCTACCCAGCATCCCGAGCTCAGCACAGACCATCGAGATCGACAGCTCCAGCCATCTGTGCCATGGCGTCGTCATCTTATACCCTCTCCCTTCCACTCCTGCAGCTCCCGCGGTATGCGTCGTCCGCTCGCCTTGGGCTGAGCGCTCTCAACCGGGCTTCGCCTTCCGCCCGCCTGAAGACAGCCAAAGACCTGCGGTCCGTCGCGGCCACATCGTACCAGCACGAAGCAGCAGGGCACGGCGACAACAGCGGCATCGCTGCGACGACCAGCGCGCTGCATCTGGTGGCCGGTGATGATGCTGCGGCCGAGCTGATGCGGGGGGCAGCGAGGGTGCGCGGTGGTGCGCCTCTTTCACCCAAGGGACGCCCCGACAAACCGAGGGAAGGCAGCGGCGGCAAGGTTCATGGCCCCCCGCCGACGCTGCTTCGTCTCCCTAAGGAAGGAGCCGGCGGCCAAGGCGACCGTCCAATCGGACGCTGCCTTCCTGGGCTTGCGCGGCCCACCAAGCCTGCCTCCTTTTTACCCTCCCACATCTCTCTCAAAAATATCTACCCACTTGCTCGTCAATCGCACGCTTCACGGCGCTGTGCGGCCGTCCATCCGCCCCACTCCGCATTTGCCGCCACAACCATCTCCCCGCACGTGCCCCCACCATGTGTTCTTCGCTTCTCGCTGCTACCCGTCGCGCGCGCCCACCCGCACCTCTTGCTCCTTGCTCCTTGCTCCCGCAGTCCCACCCACGTGTCGTCGGGCACGCCGCCAGCCTCTGTTGGTGCTCATGGTGCCGTCGCGCGTCCCAGGTCGGTCCCCAGCCGAGCCAAGGGCACCCATGAGCGCGGCCCGTGCTGGTGGTGCTCGCACCCCGAGGCCAGAATCAACCGGCCCCGACCTCCCCTCCTATATGTTGCAAATGTATATTTCAAGTGTTTTAGATGTTTCAGAGGTATGTTGCAAGTGTTTCGTATGAATGTTACAAAAGTAGATTGGGATATTGCACATGGTGCGTTTAATAGGCATGTTGCAAGTGTTTCAGGCGCATGTTGCAAGCGTTTTTTATCTAGATGTTGCACATGTTTCACACCTATGTAGCAAGAGTATGTTCGAAATGTTTCAACTGTTTCAGTCTTATGTTGCAATAAGTGTTTTCATGTTGCAATTTACAAGTGTTTTATTTGAATGTTGCATATGTTTCACACACATGTTGCAATTGTATATTCCAAATGTTTCATCTGCTTCAGACATATGTTGCATCCAAGTGTTTTATGTTTCAGAGCTAGAGAGTCATGGGGGGCATGACCTGGGCACCGGGGGATGGGGCGCGGCGAGCTGTGGGCCGGCGGTTGGGGCACGTAGCGCACCTAGGATCCTACGGACGGGGCGTGCTCGTCCTCATGCCGGCTCTCAGGTCCCGCCTGCCCAGAGATAGAGGAGGGGGTCAGGGGGAGGAGCGGCGGGCGCGGTGTTTCCCGCGGGCACATGGGAGTCCGGACTCGCAGTTGCGCAGAGAGAGGAGGGGCCAAGGGGAAGGAGCGGCAAGCGTGGCCTTTTCCACGGTGCGTGTGATGAAGGTGGTGCGGGCTTCCGGACACGCGCTTTTGTTTGGATGATCGGGCGCTAGTATTTCCCTTTCAGCTAGAAAGCTTGATTATGTGTAGAAACTCAAACATCCTGTATGCTTCAGCCTTGCGCTACCTGAACTTGTGCATCTTTATTTGTTGTCTGATCATCTTTATTAAAACAATGATGATGTGGATCCTCCATGCTTTTATGTGGAGTGGCGGCCACTCTATGCGTAGAGGATGAGAAGACCATTTTTTGTGAAGAAACTCTAAGTGAACGTCGCCTACACTACTACGTTAAACCTATCACCACCAAGCCGGAACCCCCAATCATCGTCGGTTTCGCTCGCCGATAGTGAAAACAGAGTTCATCACCATTGGTTTACAAACCGACGGTAATAGGCGAATGAAAATTTTAAAATATATATTGGTCGTCCTATGCCGCCATCAAACATCATTGCCTCCTGTGCTACTGTTCATGCCCCTAACCATGCGCGTGCATTGTCGGACCTGTCGGACCGGATCAGAGGAGCCCCCACCGCCTAGATCCACTGCCATCACGAGGTGAGGGAGATGCAAGGTGAGGGTGAGGCGACGTGATGGAGAGGCATGTGAGAGAGGGAGGGTTGTGGTAGAGCCCGGGGTAGGATTGAAAATTATTAGGGAGTTAGGATTTAAGATATATATATATATATATACCAAGTCTGGTTTTCACTGTTGGTTCATGATTTGAACCGGTGGTGGAAACCAAACTGGTTTTCATCGTCGGCTCAAGCCACGAAACGTCAGTGAAAACCATTTTCACCTTTTGATCTATTTCAAACTGGCGGAGATAGCTACATTATCACCTTCGATTTTAATTGAGCCGGTGGTGAAAATGATACAGAAAAAAACCCTTTTATGTAGTAGTGTGTGCTAGATGACCAGGAGAGTCTGTTGGCAAGTGGTTAGCTTAGTGGCTTATGACACTTGTACAAGGCTACTAAGACACATTCTGGTCATCTTGTTTGGCAATCAACTTCGTTCCTGGCTTGACAGTCCAACACTGTGTTCAGGGGAAAGGCTTTTAGTGACTAGAAGCATTTCTTTTGTGGAGGTTCAACATAGATAATAAGGGGTAGCGTTTTAGCAACCAATACCATAAGATACATGACGTGTCTTAGGAGTTTACCTTCATAAAGAGTTTACCTTCATAAACTTGAGCTCTTTACTAATTTCCTGCATTTATGTTTTCCCTTGATTATGTGATATTTTATTTTTTAGGTGTGGCTAGCTGATGAATTTGCCTCCAAGTTATAAAATTCTTTGTGGATCTAAATTAAGCACATGGGAAAAACATAAGTTCATATCATCCTAGACTAGTTTATTGTTTTTTAGTGTGGTTTACATGGAGCTCTATAGAATTCTAGAATCGCCCTAGCATCACTCAATTTTCAGCCACCAGCACCGCGGGTACTGTACTACTGTCCAGATCGTATTGCGGCTGCAACATACGGGCACACGTTTGAGCTTTGACCGGGTAAAAATTGTCAGTCCAAGACTAGCTATACACACTGTAGCTTCCTGGCTGTGTCAGTGTGTGAACAACCAGACTAGTCAAAGTCAAACACCACCTCGTGCTGCCCGTCCATTATTCGCATCGACCGGTAGGTATTCGCTACTATAAAAAGGTCGAGGGCTCTTCCAGTAGTTCCATTCCATCACCAGCAGCAGACATCCAGCGACGCATCGGTGCCTCATCCATCGCCGGAGAGAGATCCACCACCCCCGACTCCTTGAGCCGTCTAGCTCTCTCGACTCGAAGCCGATCACCAACACCACCACCAAGCTAGTCGCATGGCCATGGCGTTGTCGCCGTCGTCTGCGCCAACTAGCCCGCTCCCGCGGCAGCTTCTGCGGTACGTGTCGTCCCAGCTCGCCGCCGCCCTCAACCGTCCAGCTCCAACCCTCAGTCTGCCGATGCCGAGTGCGCCGCGGGGAGTGGATGCAGCGGCGTCTCAGCGGCTCCGGGCAGCGAGCCGAGGCGCTCCTTCCCCGAATGGGCGCCTCGGCGCGCAGCGGCGGACATGTCCTTGCCGCTCCGGCGATGGCAACGACGGCACGCGTGGTGATGCGAGGACCACCAACCCCGCCTGGTCTCCCTGCACAAGGCAGCGGCGGCGGCAAAACTCTTGTCGCACCAGCGGCGGCGGCGGCGACGGCGGGCGGGGTTATGGCAGGACCCGCACCCGCTCCGTCTGGTCTCCCTTCACGAGGCAGCGGGGTGAAAGTTGATGCGGCTCTGGTGGCGGCGAGCCTGGCTGTGCAGCGGCCCAAACCGCCGCGATCTCCGACAGAAGGCCCCGGCGGCAGCGGTGGAATCATCCATGCTGCAGTTGCTGCTGCTGATTCTTGATTATTGTTGAGCTGTAGTCGTAGTCACTGCATGCATGGAGCTGCCGGATCGAAAAGACCGAGGCTGCTGGGTTTTCTTTCACTTTTTGTATGAAATTTGGAAGCATAGAATAAATTTTTCTGAACCTGAGTGTTTGACAGGGATTCGAACCAAAATTTTCGTTAACAGCTACAATTCAAAACAAGTATTGAGAAATGTATGATACGATACCAAACAATTTTCATTATTAGATCCATCATAAAATATATTTTCATAATATATGTATTTAAGAGTAATACTTGTTGATAATATTTTATCTAAACTTATTAGCTAAGTTGACGAAAGTTTGACTCGGTATAAATCTAGAATTGTATTTTTTAGAGACGTAGGTAGTACTTTATTAGAATAGTCAACATATCTGCGATGTAACACATCGAAGTCAATTTGAACCCTAAAATAATCGTTGTATTTGAAACCCCCTTAACTCAAAGCCAGACATATATATTACATGCGTGTTCCAACTTTCAAAACCCGATAAATTCTCCCCCCCCCACACACACACACACAAACAATTAAAAGTGGTTTCAAGGGTGGTTTTGAACCGCATTGTTCTTTTTTAGTTCAAAAGTAAATTTGGTAAACACTAGATAAGGTTTTCTAGATCTAACAAAAATATCAGAGAAAAATATTAGATATATATTAAGACAAGAGGCATATAAATGAAATATCTGGAGCTCGTGAGATCTTTGAAAGCTTTCGAAAATTGTTCTGTGCTTTAGAAATATGGAAATATATTCAAAAAACCTAGAAAAGTTCCAAAAATTTTAACCGCTGTCTAAACACAGTTTGAAAACTTTGTACCACAAAAACATGAGATGCAAACAGCATGAATGCAACACACAACAATATTGGTTGCATTAATGCCTGTTGTAACTCGTGCTTTTATTTTGTTAGGTTTCAAAATGTTTTTATGTGTCAATTAAGGTGTTTTATAAATTTTCTAGATTTTTTCTAAATATTTTCCTGATCATATAATTTAAAATCCCAATTTTTAAGCTTTTAGATATATTTTCACAAGCTCAAAATATTTTACTTGGGTTTTTTATCCCATCATATCTCTTGGATTTTTTGGAGGCTTCAAAATATAAAAATGTATCTAGTATTTATCAGATTGTTTTTTAGACTAAAAATAGATTATATGGCTGAAACCCACTTTAACTCCTTTCACTACTGGAAACAGAGACTTTGCCGAGTGCATAATTCTTTACCGAGTGTAAAAAATCGGACACTCGGCAAAGACCTTCTTTGCCGAGTGTTGCACTCGGCAAAGAATTGCACTCGGCAAACAAGGGCACTCGGTAAAGGACTTCTTTGCCGAGTGCTAGACTCTCGGCAAAAGAGCGGCACTCGACATAGGCTGCCCGCGTAACGGTGTTCGGCCACGGCCTTCTTTGCCGAATGCCTGCTGTTAGGCACTCGGCAAAGATTTAATTTTTTTTTTGGAATTTCTTTACCGAGTGTCCCAGATCTAGCACTCGGCAAAGATTTAAAAAAACAACTTTGCCGAAAAGCCGATCTGGACACTGGCAAAAGAAATTCTAAAAAAATTAAATCTTTGCCGAGTGCCGATCTAGGACACTCGGCAAAGAATTTTTTAAAAAAGAATTAAATCTTCGCCGAAAGTGCCCCTCATCGGCACTTTCTCGGCGAAGGAGCGGTTGGGACTTAAACGCTTTCGGTTCCGGGCAGTCAAGCAGACAGCCAGCCAGCCAGCCATCATCCACGCCCGCCGCCCGCTTCGCGCCCCCGCATCGCCGCCAGCGCCAGCCACCCACCGCCACTGCCCGCGCGCACATACAGGCCATCAAGCACCGGCCATCGCCGTCCACCATCAGCGCCAGCGCCGCCCGTAGCCTGCCAGCGGCCAGTTCATTCACCGCAACGCAGCAAGCAGCAGCCAGCAGGACGGAGCAGAGAGGCCAAGCCACTGAGACGGGCAGACGGCGACTCGAGCACTCGGCGAGACTCCACCGCGAGCACGCAAGACCGTGGAGCTGGGCTACAAGACGGCAGCGAGCGCCTTCAGCTTCGGATCATCTGCCTCCATCAAGGTGAGTGGCCTTCTGCTTGAGGACTCGGACCCTATAGAGTTCCAATGCCTGTTGGATTGCTAGCTAGTACCATAAATATCAACACCAGGGCATTGCTTATTAATGCGGTTCTTTGATAGCATAAAATGTAGTTAGTTTGATGCATATATCAGCTGATTGGATCGAAACGAATTAAAATAGCATGTTGAATTGCTGATGCATATGGCCCTGCTAATTTTGACTGTCAAATCAAAAGTTCATTACTGCATAGCGTCGTCAGGTCAGGGCTAGCTTTACCATCCAGCAGCATATCTGTTTGTGCTGAACAAGGAGCCTTAGTTCTCCTACCTTCGGTGCAGTACCAAATTCTTATTTTTGTTTTTCAGTTCCTATCAGCCATGATAAAATCATAAAATACATGAAATGATTTTATTGTATTTTTTAGATCAGAAACATGGATGATGAAAAGGGGGGAATTGAACTGACTGTACTTAGTTTTCTAAGATAGTTCAGATTGATTAGTTCTACCTTGTGTGTTGAGTCGAGATGCAATGTTGGAGGGGGAATTTAGTATGCTTGTACCTTGTCGCTTTGCTTGCTCTTGCAGTATGATTTATTGGTATACCTGATACATGTAGAGTACTTGAAGCTCAAATGGTGCAAGCTAGGACAGAGCTAAGCTAGTTTCGTATTGACGCTATAGTTGTTTGTCGGCTGGCTGGCTGTGACTTTGTGAAATGAGCATCATGTGGATTTATTTAGTGTTATTTGGGGTAAGCTTTTTCAAAAGCACAAGCTGCTCAAATTGAAATGCTGGATCAGAGTGACGAGTCCTGATTTTATTAGGTTGGCAGTGACGGCTCCTGCTTTTCCTGTTCTATCCAAATGAATCTCCATGTCTTGGATAATCATAATCAGCACCCACCATCTTGCGCGCGGTCACCGTAGGAACAGGATCGGGTGCCGGTCTGCCGGAGTTAGCTCGCTCCATAGAATGGATTTGCAAGGTCTATGGCTGTGGTCATTGAAATCTCAACCCCCATAGAAACCAGAATTTTCAAGTAGCAGTTATATAGTTTGGTTTAGGGGAATTTTACTCTGATAAACTGGGTCTGTGTCAAAAACCAGTAGATCATCTAGGTAACACCAACAGATTGTCTTCGTTTTTAGTTGCCATTCACCAGATAGGAAACAACCGGTTCATTTTACTTGGGTTCTCTTTGAAGGTGCACTTGCTTAGTGTTTTGCATTAGCTGGGTTTATTGGTTGTAGAAATACAGTTACACAGATCGAGTTTGATTACTCTCAAGGGAGGTTCTTCAGGTTCTGATGTTCTATATTAGTTATCTTCTTTCATTCACTATAGCATCCCTGTTTTTTACATATTCCTCAAGACCAGTTGATTGAATTTTCAGAATGCTTAATCACAGGTCACACAGTCAACGGATTTCACTGAGCTTGCAAACCAGGAGCCATGGCTCTCATCTATGAAGTTGGTTGTGAAACCTGACATGCTCTTTGGGAAACGTGGGAAGAGTGGACTTGTGGCCCTCAACCTAGATCTTGCCCAAGTTCGCCAATTTGTTAAGGAGCGGTTGGGAGTTGAGGTACTGTCATGACTAGCATCTTGCCATGCTTTTTTTTGAAGGTCATCTTGCCATATGCTTTTACCAGCACAAACCTGATCGTTAAAGCTATTTATAATCTATATGACTGAATTTGCTCATGTATCTAGGTCGAGATGGGTGGCTGCAAAGCTCCAATTACAACCTTCATAGTTGAGCCATTTGTGCCGCATGACCAAGAGTATTACCTTTCGATTGTATCAGAAAGGCTTGGCAGCACCATTAGTTTCTCAGAGTGTGGAGGTATTGAGATCGAGGAGAACTGGGACAAGGTTAAGACTATCTTTCTTCCCACAGAGAATCAAATGACACCTGACGCATGTGCTCCATTGATCGCCACCCTGCCATTGGAGGTCAGCTATTGCAATGTTACTTGTTTATTTATTATACCATTTGTTTTGTTCCCAGTAAGGCTTGGAACTCGTTGCTGCTGGTCATTCTCAGATTCTTGATTAACCATCAATTCTCAGTTGATTCTCATTGATGATCCGTGCTTGAATTTCAGGTCCGCACAAAAATAGGTGATTTCATTAGAGGTGTATTTTCTGTTTTCCAAGGTACCTCACCCTTGCTTTTCAAAGGCAGACAGTTTGTAGTTGTTGCTTTTCCGGTTTCAACACTCAACGTGTGATGCTCTTTGGTTCTTTTGCAGACTTGGATTTCTCATTTCTTGAGATGAACCCATTTACCTTGGTAAATGGTGAACCATATCCTCTGGATATGAGAGGAGAACTAGATGACACAGCTGCTTTCAAGAACTTTAATAAGTATGATTCAGACTTTCGATGTACCTCACAGATCCCAGTTGCTTCCTTCATATTAGTCATACCAGCCATATTTATGTGAAAAATATAGGTTTTTCTACTGTATTGCTAATCATAATGAGTGCACGTTGTATTTTTTTCATTTGTTGTTCACTTGGTGATGGACTTGTGATGCACTTGTGGACTTTGATGGACTTGCGGATTTATTTGGATGGACTTGAGCACTTATTATTATATATGTGATATATATTGTGATGGATGTGATATGTGCGGATGGATGTGTAGATGGATGAGATATATATATGTGATGTATGTTTGTATGAATTTATTTGGCATGATGGAATGTAAAAAAAATTAAAAATTGCCATTTTGGGTCACTTTGCTGAGTGCCATGGTCACAGCACTCGACAAAGCTGGAAAATAGGCGTCCAGAAAACCAGTTTTCCAGCTTTGCCGAGTGCTGTGACCATGACACTCGGCAAAGAAATTTTTTTTAAAAAAATTCCAACTTTGCCGATCATTTACGAGAGGGCACTCGCAAAAAAGAAATTAAAAAAATAAAAAAAATCTTTACCGAGTGCTCTAATTATGGCACTCGGCAAAGAATTTTTTTAAAAAAATAAACTTTGCGAGTGTAGGGAAGAGAGCACTTGGCAAAATTGACCATGGCATTCGAAAAGAATTTTCTTTAAAAAAATTAAACTTTTAAAAAAATTAGACTTTGTTTCAAAACAGAGGGCACTCGGCAAAAATTTTTTAAAAAATTTAAAAAATATTTGCCGAAATGCTTTCACTCGGCAAAGAAATTTTGTAAAAAATAAAAAATTTTGCCGAAAGTGCCTCAAGGCTTAGCACTCGCAAAGAAATTTAAAAAAATAAAAAATCTTTACCGAGTGCATGAAGGGTTGGCACTCAAAAGAATTTTTTTTGGGTAAAAATCTTTTGCCGAAAGTGCAGCCCATCAGGGTTGGCACTCGGAAAAAAAATTTAAAAATAAAAAATCTTTGCCGAGTGCTCGCAGGGTTGGCACTTCAAAATGATAAACGGAACCGGCGCCGTGGATTTGCCGCTTTTCTTTGCCGAGTGTCATCAGGCACTTGCAAAGCCTTTTAGACTGTGCCGATAAAAGACACTTGGTAAAGAGGGCTTTGCCGATCAATTTTTTGCCGTAGTGTTTATGGATATTGTCCGGTTTTGAAAATAAGAGGCTGTAAGATTTGTTGTATCTAGTCGAACTAGGATTTTATAGACTCTGTGAAAATGTTTAGGATACTTATTTAAAAAATAGAAAAATTAGTGCAGCACAGATGATGTGAAACATAGGATTTCATCTCTCTAATCTATACCAAATGTAAAATAGAAAAAAAAGCCTCTTTCCACCTCTCCCTCCTGCACGCCGGTCTGTGCATCAGTCCTCTTACTCTCACCTTTCTAACTTTAAGGATGGCAAACATAAAACCGTTGTACGAGCTTGGAGGCGCAAAACTTTTACTTGCACTGCACCACTCATGCGTATTGTGGTTGCTCGAAACCATATGCATTGCAATGCACACGAGTGTGTAGGTCGTTTTTCACCTTTCTTAAACTCACAAAAGGTACGATAATAGCTACCATTCTCCATCCTAAATTATAGATCATTTTGATTTTTTCTAGATACATATAGCTTTTGCTATGCTATAAATATATAACATGCCAAGATACATACATAATAAAATTTGTGGGGTACGACCCCGGATACCCATGGCAGACCACATGGGCTGCGCCCTCAGGGGCGGCCCAGCCCACAAGACGAAGCTTTGCGAGGCACGATTCTGCTCGGCGCCTTCCGCAAGACATCTGGAAGATATCCTGAAAATACTACGAGATCTGTTATAATTTGTACGATCCCAAGATTTCTGTAACCAGTTATTACTTTCCGGTTATCTCTCAGTATTAACCGACTTGTAGCCCTGCTCCCCGGACTATGTAAGGCGGGCAGAGACCCCCTCCAAACGCACGCAATATCATACAATAGCTAATACAAACCAACAGACCACAGGAGTAGGGTATTACGTCATACTGATGGCCCGAACCTGTCTAACTCGTGTGTCTTTATTGCCTTCTTGTTCTTGATCATACGCTTCTCTGCCGATCAATCTACCTTCATGGGATACCCCTCGGAGGACTGCCAACGATATTCTGTCGACAGTTGGCGCGCCAGGTAGGGGTGTGCGTGCTGTTTCCTTGTCGAATAAGATGGCTTTTTCCGCAGGCTCTTCGTCCCTCCCGTAGCCCAGCCAGATCTTCACGGTCGGATCGATCTCATGGATCATCAATGCTGGCAGAGTCAGAGAGCTCCTCGAGCCGGTGCAGATCGATTCTGCGCTGATCACCCCCGCACCTACGACTGCAGATCCAATCTTGGAACCACCTTCGAGGTTGCCTTCATCGACGACTCACCGCCCGCTTCCTCGCTACCAGAGGAAGTAAATCAACAATGATGATCTGATCGCATCCATCGATCGGGTTGGTCTAAAGCTCGCCGATTGCCTCCCCATCGCCGAATTGGATATGGACGCTCTCGTTCAGCGCCGTCCACTCTCCGATCCAGATCTATCGGAGGCTGCCCGGGAGATTCCAAGGGTTGCGGCCCTACCTTTTGGTTTCACCAACATCGCCGCCGCTTATCAAGATGCCCTAAGGGGCAAATTCGCTAACCAGGTTGGAGATATCCATCCTCTCGCCGACCAGCTCCCGCCGGCCGTTAACATGCTGCACGTCGGCCGACCTCTCAGAGCATCCCTCCAAACCATCCCGGAGGAGAATTCGGACTCTGAGTCCCAGGGCTCTACGGAGACCCTCGCCGAAACCTTCACCGAGCAACTTCCTATCCCTCCTTTCCGGGGTGGCATGATTTTCAACATCAGCGTCGATAGCACCCCTCAGAACGGCGAAACCGAGGAGGAACGTGCCGCTCGTGAGAATAGGAACATCAACTGCGCACAACACCGAGCAAACGAGATTACCCTTGCGATGGCCGAGCAGCAGCTTGACTCGCAAGGAAGGCCACTCCAGCGCAACCTCGACGATGATTTTCTCCGCGTTGACGGCCACAACGTCTACAAGACTCCAAGCGCCAACCTGGCCGTGGCCGCCAATGAGCTCGCTCGGCTCCCGCGGACACCGGAGGTCGCCGCAATGCTTAAAGCGGCGCATTGCCAGGTCAATGAGATCCGCCAGGATCAGAGACCTTCTTACTCCACAACTTCGATTCGCCGATCAGTTGCCACAAGAACCGATCGCCGCCCAAGTCGCTTCACCGACTAGCACCGCGACGACAAGCAACCCCTCCAGGGCGGAGCTAGGGGCAACCGCATTGAACATCATCGCCAACCCGACCAGGAGGTCGACCAGGACGTCTGAGTGCACCTCAACAATCTCCGAGATGCACGACGATGTATCAACAAACGCCGCTTCGTTCGCCATGAAGACGAAGTACGCCACTGCCAGGAGTACGAGCAAGAGTACGATATCCTAGACTCAGCTCTCGAGCCACTCGCCGACGGCAACACTGCAGACGATGGCGCCGACAACCTCGAGGGGCCCCCAGCATTCACAAGGGTGCTCCGAACACTTCAGTGGCCCCATGGTTTTAAGATCACTGGGTCGAGCCCTACGAAGGAAGGATGAACCCGACACAATGGCTACAGGCTTATGCCACTGTTGTCTGTGCCGCCGGAGGAGACACCAGTGTCATGGCGAACTATCTTCCCATCATGCTCACGCCAGCCGTCGTGAGTTGGTTTACAAGCCTTGCCCTGGACTCCATCGAATCCTGGGAAGAGCTGAAAAAAGTCTTCACCGACAATTACATGGCTACGTGTACTCGGCCGGGCACCAAGCATGATCTAAACCGCATCAACCAGAAGCCGTCCAAGCTCCTCTGTAGCTACATCCGACGCTTTTCTGAGATGAGGAATTCTATTCCCAACATCACGAAAGCTGAGGTCATCACCGCCCTCATTCGAGGACTACATCACCACCGAGCTTCGCTCCAAGTTCAACCGCAAGCCGCCAACAGGGATTGGCGAGATGATCACGATTGCCAACCAATACGCCGACGCCGAGGAAGCCGAGGTGCGCTTCAACGAGGATGCGGGCACTCATTGCCCAACACGTCGTTACAATGACCGCCCCGACAACCGATGCCACAACGACCGCCGCTTCGACGACCGTAGTTACCATTGTGACAGCGGATCGTGATCGGCCAGAAGGACCCAAATCTAGCCAAAATCACCACCGTCGGCCAGACCACATCATCACTGCCGTCAATGAACCTCGGGCCAAGCGCAACTATGATGAGCAATACAAGAAGATCCTCGATGACCCGTGCCCTCTCCACAAGAACGCCAAACACAAGATGAAGAACTGCCTCGGCTTGGCTAAGGAGTTCCAGGACAAAAAGCTGGACGACGACACGGACGACGGAGCTGGAGGCCACCGACCACCTGAGGGCAATAACAATGCCTTCTAGGACCATGACAAGGTGGTCGCCACCATCTTCTAGGGCCTCGCCTCCACCGAGAGCAGAAGAGAATGGAAGCTTGCCGCACGATGGGTGCTCACCGTCACTGTGGAAGACACCGCCGCAACCCTAGCTATCGCCCATGGTCTAAGGTTCCCATCACCTTCAGCAGGGATGACCAGTGGGCGGACATCCCCTACACCGGGTGTTTCCCTCTCGTCCTCGACGCAACCATCCAGAAGGTGCTCTTCAGAAAAGTGCTCGTCGACGGTGGCAGTGCTCTGAATCTCCTCTTCGCCGGAGCCCTAAAGGAGTTGGGCCTCGGGTTAGCAGATCTCACACCCTCCGACTCCTCCTTTTGGGGTGTGGTACCTAGCAGGGCCTCCAAACCACTTGGAGAGATCACCCTACCAGTACAGTTCAACACGGCAAGCAACTACCGCGTCGAGCATATCAACTTCTACGTCGCCGACTTCAACACCGCCTACCACGCCATACTTGGTCGGCCAGCTCTAGCCAAGTTCATGGCCATACCGCACTACACTTATCTGGTGCTGAAGATGCCTTTGCTTGCAGGA